AGGCTGTCCGACGACGAAAGTGGGTAGCAGGAGGTCTTGGGGTGCTGCGGGGAGGCCGAACAATCCACTCCACCTTCCGCGCCCCCCCCCTTCGTCCTCAGCCGGGGGGCGGCGGGCCCCGTGGAGGCGGGCCCCTGTCGGTGACTCAGCCGCCGCGCCTCCGTCAGCGCCCGGGCTGCCGGGGCCTGGCGGCGGGGGGGGCGGGGACAGGGATCAGGGCTTCGGTCAGTGAGGTGCGCGTAGTCGGCTGCATACATTCAGGGCCTGCGGCAGCCCCCGCGCTGGTTTGCACGTCCTGATGTTAATCCGACTCCCCCGTGGCGGTGGGCAGAATGCCACCGACCATCAAAAATCCGCACCTCGGAGCCCCCCCTCCCCCCCTGCTCCCGCTCGTCTCCTGGCGCGGCCGCGAGCCACTGGAGACCTCTGGTCGATGCAGGGGTGATATTTCAGGGATTGGCCCGACCACCGACGTGTCAGCCGCCATCCGGTAGCGATCAGATCGCGCCGGAGTGGCAGCCGAGGGCGGCGCGAAGTCGGACATGTCGAGCTCTAGGCGAAGAGTCGTTCCCCGAAGCCCGAAGAGGCCCCCAAGAATCGCCCGAGAAGCCCAAAAAGACCCCCAAGAGGCCCCAAGAGACCTCCCAAAAGGCTCCACCGAGGCAGACATGACTGATGTCCCTTTGCGTTCTCGCACTGGGAGCTTCCCGGCGCTCCAAGACGGCCCAGGAAGCTTCCAGGATCGCCCCGACACGTCCCAAGAGACCTCCAAGAGTGCCCACAACTGCCCCAGAGGGCCCCAGGACAGCCCCAGACGCCTCCAAGATGGCCGAAGAGGCTGGCAAGACGGCTCCAAGACCGGGCCCAAACGAGGGACCCGAACGGACATTTCGAGGCCCAGGCGCAGAGGCCCCCTAGAGGCCCCAATAGACCCCCAAAAAACCTCCAAGAGGCCCCCGAGAGGCGCCAAGAGACCCCCAAGAGGCCTCAAGACACCTCCCAAGAGGCTCCACCAAGGCAAGAAATAAGCGATTGTCCTTCAATGTTTGAAGGTTTTTGGCGTTCTCGCCCTGGGGGCTTACCGGCGCTCCAAGACGGCCTAAGAGGCTTCCAGGATCGCCCCGACACGGCCCAAGAGACCTCCAAGAGCACCCACAACGGCTCCAGAGTGCCCCAAGACAGCCCCAGAGGCCTCCAAGAAGAGGTTCCCAAGACGATTCCGAGAGCGGGCCCAGACGAAGGACGTTAATGGACATGTTGAGCTCCAGGCGCAGCGAAGTCCCCTGGAGGCCCCAAGAGGCCCCCCAAAAGCCTCCAAGAGGCCCCCGAGAGGCCCAAAGAGACCCCCAAGAGGCCCCCAAGAGGCCCCCCCCACCGCACAAGGTGTCAGACATACCGCCAAGAGGCCCAAAAAGAAGCCTCCTATCGTTTCACCAACCCCTCCTTCTTTTGTCCCTCCTCCTTCCCCCACTTCTGCGTCAACGACCCTCGATCCTCGAACGAAAGCGCACCGCCAAGAGGCCCCCCAGAGGCCTCCCAGAAGAACCCAAGCGACTCCCAAAGAGGCGCCTTGTCCATGAACAGCTTCGCCCCAGCTTGACACAAAAAGCTCTCCAGAGACCTCCTCCTCATCCTCACCCCCCCCTCTTCCTCCTCCTCGTCCTCCTCCTTCACCTTTTCGCCCGCCACGAACAAACAATCATATAGCATCAATGATGCAAGATGGGCCGGCGGAATGAGCGAAGCGATGAAATCCGCCGACCCCAGGGGCGTGTGAGGGAGAGTGCGTGCTAGAGCCATTCATCGTGAGCTTCTCCTTTCAAGCAGCCACCGACCGATACCCCCCTCCTGGCCCCCTCCCTTGGAACCTCTGTTATTAGGCCCCCCCTTCCCCCACTCCACCACTTCTCGCCCAAAACCGACCGATGCCCCCAACCACGCCCCCCACCACGCCCCCGCCACGCCGTGGCATCCCCACCCCATGGCGCCTCCCACCACGCCCCGGCGTCCCACGGCATCCCCACCCCATGGAGCCTCTGTTCTTGGGACCCCCCACCCTGCGATTTCTCGCCCAAACCCGGCATCCCCACCCCATGGAGCCTCTGTTCTTGGGACCCCCCACCCTGCGATTTCTCGCCCAAAGCCTACCGATGCCCCCCTCCTGGCCCCGGCATCCCCACGCCATGGAGCCTCTGTTCTTGGGGCCCCGGGGCTCTACGATTTCTCGCCCAAAACCTACCGACGCCCCCCTCCTGGCCCCGGCATCCCCACACCATGGAGCCTTTGTTCTTGGGACCCCCACCCTACGATTTCTCACCCAAAACCAACCGATTTCGCCCCCTTCCTGGCCCCGGCATCACCACCCCATGGAGCCTCTGTTCTTGGGATCCCCCACCCTTACGATTCCTCGCCCAAAACATACCGACGCCCCCCTCCTGGCCCCGGCATCCCCACCCCATGGAGCCTCTGTTCTTGGAGCCCCCCACCCCACGATTTCTCGCCCCAAAACCTACCGACGCCCATCTCCTTGCCCCGGCATCCCACCCCATGGAGCCTCTGTTCTTGGGACCCCCCACTCTACGATTCCTCGCCCAAACCCTACCGACGCCCCCCTCCTGGCCCCGGCATCCCCACCCCATGGAGCCTCTGTTCTTAAGATCCCCCCCCTTCGATTGCTCTCGCCCAACACCTACCGACGCTCCCCTCCTGGCCCCGGCATCCCCACTCCATGGAGCTTCGTTTCTTGGGGACCCCCCACGTACGATATCTCGCCCAAGACCTACCGACGCCCCCCCTCTGGCCCCGGCATCCCCACCCCATGGAGCCTCTGTTATTGGGACCCCCTTCCCTCCTGGCCCCGGCATCCCCACCCCATGGAGCCTCTGTTCTTGGGACCCCCCACCCTACGAACCGACGCCCCCCTCCTGGCCCCGGCATCCCCACCCATGGAGCCTCTGTTCTTGGAGCCCCCCACCCTACGATTTCTCGCCCAAAACCTACCGACGCCCCCCTCCTGGCCCCGGCATCCCCACCCCATGGAGCCTCTGTTCTTGGACCCCCCACCCTACGATTTCTCGCTCAAAACCTACCGACCCCCCTCCTGGCCCCGGCATCCCCACCCCATGGAGCCTCTGTTCTTGGAGCCCCCCACCCTACGATTTCTCGCCCAAAACCGAGACCCCCCTCCTGGCCCCGGCACCCCACCCCATGGAGCCTCTGTTCTTGGGACCTCCCACCCTACGATTTCTCGCCCAAAACCTACCGACGCCCCCCTCCTGGTCCGGCATCCCCACGCCACGGAGCCTCTGTTCGTGGGACCCTCCAATCTACGATTTCTCGCCCCGCCCAAAACCTACCGACGCCCACCTCCTGGCCCAGGCATCCCCACCCCATGGAAGCCTCTGTTCTTGGAGCCCCCCCTACGATTTCTCGCCCAAAACCTACCGACGCCCCCCTCCTGGCCCACCCGCCCCATGGAGCCTCTGTTCTTGGGACCCCCCACCCTACGATTTCTCTCCCAAAACCTACCGACGCCCCCTCCTGCCCGGCATCCCCACCCCATGGATCCTCTGTTCTTGGGACCCCCCCCCGACGATTTCCGCCAAAACCTACCGACGCCCCCCTCCTGGCTCCGGCATCCCCACCCCATGGAGCCTCTGTTCTTGGGACCCCCACCCTACGATTTCTCGCCAACCCCGGCATCCCCACCCCATGGAGCCTCTGTTCATGGGACCCCCCCCCCTACGATTTCCCCCCAAAACCTACCGACGCCCCCCTCCTGGCCCCGGCATCCCCACGCCATGGAGCCTCTGTTCTTGGGGCCCCGGGGCTCTACGATTTCTCGCCCAAAACCTACTTTGGTGATGGCGTTGACATATGAGATCTATGTCAGATGAAGCCACTTATAAGTTATTTCAATTATATATGAAGTTATGTGTAAGTAACTTGAAATCACTTGTAGTGAGATATGTAAAGATCCTGCAACTACCATCCACATCTAACTTAATTCATTAACATATATACTTAAATCACATGTAGAACATATGTTACTTGTGTGCACCCAATTGCCATACTTATAAGTTACTTGTAGTTATACTTATAAATAAGATAAGTTTAAGTCCGATAAGTCTGCTTTTTTCGTCTGCTTTTTGAAAAGGTGGTCGGAAACCGAAAAACGCGCAGGTTTTCTTCAGCACAGTGTTTCGCCAGGCGCCAGGCGACCGAGAAGGCCGTTCATCACCGAGCTCAACCCGCGCAGCCTGGGGGGTAGGAAAGAGGGGGCGGGAATGGCGGGGGGGGGGATCGGGAGGGGATGCCATGCGCATTGGCGGCACACCGCCCGCACTTCTCATCGCGGCGCGTTCTGATGTGATTCGTTTCGGCGGCCCACCGCCCACGTCTTGCAAATACTGAGCAGTTTTATCGCATTGGCGGCGCACCGCCCATCGCTATGTTTTGCCCGCGTATTGCAATTTGTACGTTTTGCACATGTTGATTGAAGTTTCGTCGCGTTGGCGGTGCACCGCCCACGTTCCCTTGATTGCGCGAATCGTTTCTTCACGCATCGGCGGGGCACCGCCCACGCAGCACGTTTCATCCGAATTCGTCATCGAATTTGGCGGTGCACCGCCCACGTCCCCGTGATTGCGCGATGCGTTTCTTTCGCGTTGGCGGTGCACCGCCCGCGGCGCATGCTTCGCCCGAGTTTGTCATCGCATTTGGCGGCCCACCGCCCACGTCACCTTGATTGCGCGAGGTGTTTCTGCATTCGTTGGCGGTGCACCGCCTTCGGCGCACGTTTCATCATATACCGTTTGTTTGGTCGCATTGGCGGCGCACCGCCCAGGAGGGGGGAGGAGGGGAGAGGGGGGAGGAGAGGAGAGCAGAAGGAAGACGTGAAGGGCCATGCCATTTCCCTTCGCCACAATACGCTGCCCCTGTCCCACCGAGCGCTTCTGGAGGGGCCGCGGGGCGGGCGCCCCCCGACGCGCCGCGGCGCGATGGAGCGCGCCCAGGCTGCCCTGGGCGAGGCAGCCGCGGCGCTTGCAGCGGCGAGCGGGCCTTCCAGGGGCGCTGCAGAGCAGCTGCACTTCGGGAAGGTGCGCGCGCTCATCGAAGGCCAGAGGTGAGGCTCGGGTCAAAGATCCCGTGCGGGCGAGAGGCCATCCGTTCCCCCTTCGAGGAGGTCCCCGCCTCCGTTCGGCGGAACGCCGCCCGCTCCCCCCTCCTCCCCGCCGTCTAACATTCCCCCGTCGTTTTGCAGGTGGACGGCCACGGAGAAAGGGCAGCTGCTGACCCAGCTCGGGCAGACGGGGTTCAGTCACGATTTGGTCGGCGCCGCGACCGAGTGGCTCTGCGGGAGGCGCGCGAAGGCCAAAGGGCAAAGTTACGAGTGCTTCGTGGAGTTGCTGACTGCCTCCACGTGGCACGTGCTGCTGAGCCCAACCGAGTCGTTCGCTTCGAAATTTGTCATGTTGATGCGCCACTTGGAGCGCCTCGGGCTCCGGAACCCTTCCGAGCCGACGTTTGGCATGCTAGCCGCGTTCATGTTCCTGGCGTGCCAGCGATCAGGCATCGAGAAGAATTCGCCGACTCCGCAGCTCTTGGACGTGTACTTGCAGTTGGTGAAGACCACGTGGCGTTCCCCTGCCTACACAGCTGCTCGAGGCAAGGCAACCGAGTTTGTCGGCGCGCTCTCCCCCTCGGCGGCGCTGTTCCAGCAGGAGAGGCCGACGCTGTACGAGCAGGCGTTCGCCTCGGAGGGGCCCGTGCAGCCGACAATTGGGCTTCTCGAGACGCAGGTCCTCGGGAAGCTCATCAGCTTGCGCGGCAACAGGAACGCAGCGCTCGGCGCCCAGGCAACGCCGCAGCGGGCGGCGTTGCCGCCGATCGCCTTCGCGCCTCTGCCGCCGCCTTCTCCGATGCAAAGCGTTGCGGTTGCAGCCGCGACGATTGCCGCGACGCCTCCCTTGGGAGCCGCGACGCCAGCGGCGTTGCCGTTGGGGGTGATCCCAACGCACAACACCCGCGGCGGGTGGCCGAACCCAGCGGCGGCCGCCCTCTCGCAGCGCGGGCCGACGACTCCCACTCCAGCAGCTCCCGCGGGCGAGCCTGCCGCGATGTCGGGAGCGGCGCCTGCGGCCGCGGCCTCAAAGTTGGGTGGTGGCGCCAAGGTCAAGGCATCGGCCGTTGACGTCATGGTGCTGAGCTCGAGCGAGTCCGAGGTGGACGCGAAGGGGGCGCCGCAGAAGAAGGCAAAGGTTTTTGGGCGGTAACCTGGCCCGCCTCCGCGGCCTCCGCGATTCACGGGGGCGCGCCTCTGCCCAAGGCAGCGGCGCGCCCTCTGCGGGGCGTCGCAGGCGCGGCGATTGGTTATTGCCACTTGCCGCTGTCAAGGTGGATCCGAAACTGCCGCTGGCGAAGCTGCCTGCCGACGCTGCCCTGGTTCTCCTCCAAGCGGCGGGGCAACGTACTTCCTCTGGCTGGAAAGCGGAGAAGGGCGAGAAGAAGCGGAGGAAGTCCGACGCAGTGGCGGCCTTGGCGAAGACAAAGGCTTCAGATGGCACGGCGAAGCCATCGGCGGCGAAGGCAAAGGCAAAGGCAAAAGCCGAGGCAACACCGAAGAAGACTGCGAAGGCGAAGGCGGCAGCATGCAAGCTGAAAGCACCGCGGTATGACGACGAGACCACTCGCAGCCAGATTCTCTTCAGGAGCGGGCGCAGCGGGCCAGGCGGCACCAAGAGCAAGAAGTACAGGAACGGCAAGGAGAAGGACACTTTTGGGTCCCATCTCCTCCAATCGGCGTGGCCACGGGGCTCGATGCGTGGCAGCGGAGCGCGTTGTTGCGGCCGCGCGTGGCCTCGCTCCAATCATATGCGCAAAGAGACCCCGCGGGCCACTTTGCGTTTATGACGGTTTTCATCTGCCACTCAGGAGGCCGCCATCGCCTGGGCCAAGGCGCTGGTGCAGAGCGAGCTGGAGGCTCGCAAGAGCGAGTTCTGAGGCGACCTGCTCCGGTGGCGCGATGCATGACTCTCAGTCGGCTTTGCCGCGGGCGGCGCGTGGGGCGCGCAGCCTGCGTTCAGAAAACAAGGAACTCGGATCGAAATCGGATCGTAATCTTATCGGGCCTTGCTTGTCCTTGCGCTGCTCAGGCGGTTCTTCGTATGTATTGGAAGGTTTGCCTGGCGGTGCACCGCCGCCATCTGTTGTCGGCGGTGTTCCGCCCTCGCTGGTTCCATTGCCATGGGCGTTCTCATTTCTCTGACCGCTGCCTCGCCCGCGCCCGCCTCCCTCCGCCGCTCCCCCCGCGCCTTTTCAATTCAAGCAGCCCTCCCCGCGGGTCCCGCGGCGCCCCTCCCCGCGCCGCTGCCGCCAGCGGCCGCGGGCGCTTCGCGGGCGCATGGCGAGCGAGGGCGCGGCCAGCAGCGCCATGGACAACTCCGCGGAGGCGCTGGGAATTCCGAAAACGCCTGCTCGGCCCGAAGCGTCCGCTTGGGCAGTGCAGGCTGATTTCCTGGATTCCTGTTGAGGTGCACATGGCGGCTTCAGATGCGAGCCAGTCGCTTTTCTCGCAGGTCGCCGAAGCCTCGAACCTCTTCGAGATGTTCGCCCAGGCTCGAGGGAAACGGATCGAGCGCGCCCGACGCCCATGCGGCCCCGCCCCCGTTCGCCCGCGTTGGCCTGGATGCAGGCGGCGGCGGGGCAGGGCCCAGAAGCGACGGTGCTCTCGGCGTTTACCTTGCCTTGCGCAGGAGGCAGGCATGGATGACATCATCGCCGATCCCGCGCCGCCAGGCTGGCAGACGGCGGGGTGCCCTGGCAGCAGCAGCAGCGACCCCTCGCCAGAGGCGAAGCAAGGACCGACGCTCATCCCCGTCCACAATCAGGGCGCGGCGCCGAAGTCGCCGCCACGTCGCACCCGAGACGCTGGCGGCGCGTGGCGGGCGGAGCAGCAGCAGCAGCAGCAGGAGGTGCAGCAGCAGCAGCAGCAACCGCCGTCGGAGAAGCCTCAGCCGCCGTGGCGCCAGGCGCAACCGCCAGCAGGCGCGCCCAACGTGGGCGCCTCAGGCGCGCCCAACGTGGGCGCCTTCGTCGCCAAGGTACCCGAAGTGCCGAAAGCGTCTGCGGCGCCAGAGGACGTGGTGCAGGCGTGCAAGTTCTTGCGCTCGCTGCTGAGCCAGAGCGCGCCGATCGCCTGGAACTCCAAGCGCGTCCAGGAGCCACTGGAGCTGCTGCAGCGCTACGTCGGCATATGGGGTCGCGCCAGCACGGGGCCGCCCGCGCCCATGCACGGTGGCCCGCAATTCTGGCGCGGCCAGACGTGGCACAAGAGCGGGCAGCGCTGGGGCAACCGTGGTGGTTCAGGCCCCAAGTCGGAGTGGTACGCCTCCAAATACGGCCGCGCGCCACCGCGCCGCTCGCTCCAGGACAGCGGCGGCGGCCCGTACCTCGCGCCGACGCCGCCGCCGCCACCGCCGCCACCGCCGCCCCCGCGGCCGACGGCCGCGAGTTCGGCGCCCGCGGCAAAGGCAGCGGCCGCGCGGCCGCCTCCACTGCCCCTGACGGTCAAGGCGATGCCTTCCAAGAACCGCGGGCTGCACCTCTGAGACTCGCGGGCCGCGGGCTTTGACAACCCCCTCGGAGGTCAGACGCCGACTGAAACATCCATGAGGGGCGGGGGGACGTGAGAGCGGAGAGGTGATGGACGGTGAGCCAGGAGACAAATGGAAAGAGAGCGGAGTGGAAGTTTCAGTCGGCATCTGATTTTCCGATTTTCAGGTGCCGTTCTTCGCCGCTGGCGGCTGTCGCGGTAGACGTGCGCCGCGCTCGCGGGACCGTTCGCGAATATCCTTTGCGCGCGTCGCCAGCAAAAAATCGGCGGGGCACCGCCTGTCATGGGCTCTCGTCGGCGGCACTCCGCCTAACTTCGGCGGTGCACCGCCCGCGCGCGCTGGACTCCCAGCACTCCCCCCCATTCAGCTTCGGCGGTGTACCGCCTGTGCGTGCTCCACGCTCCCTGCACGCCTCCTCCATTCCTCTTATGATGTTTTCCGCGGCCGCAGGCTCCAGGCTGCGCTTGCGCCGCGCTTTTCCCGCGCGCGCCTTCGCGGGCGCCCATCCGCCGTCCTCGGCGCGCTCTCGCAGCCTTCGCGGCCGCCTCCCTTCGCGCCGTCTTTGGCGCGCTCTCGATCGCGGGCCTCCAGTGCGCCATCGAGCTCTTCTCTTCGCGAGATGCCCATGATCAGCGTCTTCGGGTGCACGTGCCCGTTGTCGGGGACCTGCTCGAAACGCGGGAGTTTCTTCAAGGGCGCGTCGCGAGATGAGGCCCTGTCGAGGCTCAAGACGCACTTGGTGAAGTCGAGCTACCACCTCCTCGAGGATGCCGACGCGGATCTTCAACTGGCCATCGCCGAGGTCGGCGCGCCCAAACGATTGCTTGCCCACGTCTTTCGGCGAACCTCGGTGGCGCTCGGCTCACCGAGGTCCGAGCGCCTTCGAGGTTCGACGAATGGCGCGAGCGATCGCGGGGCGCGCTTGAAGGTCGAGGAGTGGACTGAGGACACGGACGAGTGGGAGCGCTGGCAGAAGGCCAACGACGAGCAGTGGTGCAAGAACAACCGCCGCCGTGGCGCTCGCAGTGCGCCGTACCAGCCTCCCGAGCAGGTCGCTCCACTCAGCCAGAGTGCAGTGGCGGCGGCCTTCCCGAAGGGCAGCGGCAAGGGCGGTCCGCTTCAGCTCAACATGGGCGGAGCGAGCTCGCCCGTCAGCGCCAACATCGCGCCCGAGGCCACCGTGCAGCTGAACTCAGCGCAGGCGCAGGTGATCCTCGACAGCGTCACGAGGGCGAGGATGTGCTCGGCGGCCTGCCTGGCAGTGGCGGAGCGGTCGGCCGTGGCGTTCCGCGCCGAGCAGGCGGCCCTCGCCGACCTGCAGGAGACGCTGGCCAGCTGGCTCTCCAACAACGCGTCGTGAGGCCACGTTGGGGTCCTCCCGTCGCGGCGGCGTCGGCCGCCCCCTTCGGCCGCCTCGTCGGCCGCCCTCTTCGGCCGCCTCGTCGGCCTAGCAGCCCGCCGCGCCGCCCGCGCAGGGCTTGCATCGGCCGCGTAGGCCGCCTTGGGCCCCGCGGGGGTTCGACGCCGACTGACAGATCGGGGAGGGGCACGGTGAGGGAGGTGCGGAGGGAAGGGGCATGGAGAGGAGCATGGGAGGGGGGTGCGGCATGGGGAGGGGCATGAGAATCGGGGTGGGGCGGAAAGGCTGTCGGTCGGCTTCTGACCCCCGCAACTCTTCGGCGCATCCGCGCGGTCGCTCGCGCGCGCGCGGGCCGTGCGCGCACTCTTATTTTTGGCGGGTCCGCCATTCTTTCTTGGAAAACTGCGATCATCATCATCAACATCATCGTCATCAACATCATCATCATCATCATCATCATCATCATGAGTAGCATTGCCATTCTCATCCTCATCATTCCGATCACCCCCATAGGAGGAGAAGGAAGAGGAGGAGTGGTGGCGAGGAGAGGGCGAGGAAGAGGAGGAGGGGAAGAGGAGGAGGAGGAGGAGGAGGAAGGGGGGGGGAGGAGTCCTTCCCCACCATTTTTCATCATCATTCTCACCATCATCATTCCGATCACCACCATCGGAGGCGGAGGAGAAGGAGGAGGAGGAGCAACAGGAGGAGGAGTGGTGAGGAAAGAGAATGAGGAGGAGGAGGAGGAGGAGGAGGAGGAGAGGGAACGATCTCGGCGCGGCTGCGATGAGGGCTGCGTTCCTGCGCCGCGTATCGCGGCGTATCCTGG